ATACTGCGATCAACGTACCCGTGTCCACGGTTGTCACGCTGCGGGCCATAATGTCCACGTCTAGCACAGGAATTATCGGCATACTAAGAATTAACAGAATAGTATACAATATATAGTCAGGTATTGTTTGCTATTTACATGTCGGGACTGAATTCTGGCTCTCAATAAAACAGTGTTATCATCAAATATTTGAGATTTATCAGAATATAATTCTATAAATGAATTATTTGTATTCTTGAAGTTTTCTTTTATATAACTCTCAGCTTGTTCAATTTGATACGTACCAAATGTGATATTATCGATAATATCATTTCTTGTTAATTTTGGGAAATCAGGTATTGAATTTATATTCATTTTTGCGAAATCTTTTCGCTTTCGATCAAGATTATGCTCAGCTAATATTGGATCCAACTTATTTAGTGTATTTAAACGAGATTTCATTTTTGTTGCAACAATATATTCATTATGGTCTGCTGTATAATCGTTAAAAAACTTATTTGTAAGTGCTGCCGCTATTCTGAAGTCATTAATTGAGTGTTCTAGTGTAACATTTCTATGCACTTTTCCGTTAGCGCGAAAAGTGTTTTTAAGTTTACTATTTACTACCTCAACAACCCATCGAGTCTTTGTTGTCATTCTAGACTCGTTTGCTTCTATTGTGGTTAATTGTTTTTGATTAGGATTTTTACAAACAGGCATATGAGTTTTTAAGTTAAAATCATTTTGCAAAGTATTTATAGCATTTCTAAAACCACGATCTAATACTATATGGTCATTGTCTTTCAATAGTTTTCTCAAATCTTTATTAGTCTTTAAAATAGTCTGTAGAATTGTGGCATCGTTTTGGTTAGCGGGATATAAACCATAAACATCAACAATTCTACCATTTGTGGTGCATATTACAAACGGCTTTGCTAAATGTCTGCCTTTTTGGACACTAAATGATTTGCGTTGCAGTTCATTATCACCACTTTTTTCATGGTATAAATAGGTGCCATCAGCAATAAGAATTAATTTATTATCCGGTACATCATATAATGTTTGAGCTAATACTGTTTTCTCTCTCTCCCATTCTACGCGCGTCAAAGCATTAACACCGAGATGGTGTGGGACGAAATCTCTAATTAGTGATCTTCTTACTTGAGAGCAATATTCACCAACAGCTTGGTAATTATCTATTGAGAATAAGGTTGCTATAGTACGGTAATCTAGACCAGTCTTTAGCCAAAATAAAAAGGTCGCTATCGCTTGCGATTTAGTGCGAGCTGGCGACTCTTTGAGTGATGTTAATGAACAATGCAATTCATTAAATTGTTTCTTAGATAATGTTGTGTAACGAATGCATTCATCATTTGTAATATATTTACGTTTAGAGAATTTTTCTAATAATGTATGTTTAGATGCATGTCGTAAACTGTCAAGCATTAATTCAATTTCATTACCTGATAAAATGCTATTATCGCTCACAATTTCTAAATGATTTAAACAATTATTACGAAAGTTATTTTTTCTGTTCAAGTGATTAGCGCAACATTTACTGCCTTTAGGTATTAATATATTTGTATCAATAAAAGTGTTTAGCATAGCATTGTTTGGAATTTCAATAAGTTTTTTATTATTCTCGCATATTATGCATTGCTTTCTAGATCGTGATATTCTTGGAATTTTTAAACTTATCGTATTAATATCGGTCTGGGAAGTGCAGGCCTGAGATGTGCCGGCTTGTGATATGTTGGCGTGATATGTGTCGGCATATGAAAAGCTGGGTAGAACTGGGTAGACCCGTGTGGTTGATGTGATGGCCCGGGAAGTGCCCGCACAGGAAATATCGTTAAGAGTTGTGTCGGGCAATTCTGTAAGTGATAGGCCGGCCAGGGAAGGATAGATTGATGACCCAGGTAATGTGCTGGTCTGCGATGTGGTCGATAAGCCGATGGTGTTGTCACATAATTCTGTGCCGATTAATGTTGGGTAGATATTTGATTGATTTGTTGGCATTGTGTTTATCGCATCATTTTTGAATTTTTTTGCATAATTTCTACAACAGTTACAAACATAATCACCGATTTTAATTTGCACAAAATCATTAACTTTTCGTTTGTTGGTTAAAATAACTGGTTTTACTGTATTTATTTTAGTTGCAAAATCATTGTCTTTTATACGTCTAATATCACGTTTAAGGACTGTATCAAGACGTTTAGAACAGCACGCACAATATTTTAATCTTAATTTATCAAAAGTTTCCATTTTTAGCAATATAATCAAAAAATTGTTAATTATACACTGCGGTTCTCTCTGGGTTTTCAAAGAGAAGCGATTGAACATCATTTACTAATCTCGATATTTTTAGTGAATTTTTTGTAAACCCAGAAGAAACCGCAGTCTATTAAAATCGTGTTTATATTTTTTGAGATCCATTTTCCGTTAAAAATATAGTGTTTATATAATTATTGATATAACAAATATTGTTTGCTTTTAAAATATCTACAAAACAGTGAAGAGATTTTTAAATTATCTCAACTCGTTTTTCGTTGGCAAGAGTTTTGTTTTTAAGAATAAAAAACAACCCTGTGCAGAGATGACAACAGTTAGAAATTTTGTTTTTGTTTAAAATGTCATTAAATGAATCACATTTCATCAGTATATCATTATAATTGTGATTTGTTGCTATCATTTTCCAAGTCAGACATACTGTTTGATTTATTATTATGAAATATCACAAAATTCCATGTTTCTGGTTTAAATATAAAAGATATAAAAAATTATCTTAGTATATTTTTCTTAAAATAATCGAGTTACTCTATTTTGAGACTGACCGTAGAACTAATTCAGAAAATATAAATAATTTTTATGCAGTTAAACTGTACATAAAAATAATTTATGATTATATTATTATGTTTAAAGTTTTTAATAAAGTTACGGAGCTTCCAATACTATAATTTATATTTTTTTTAAATTAATCAAATACTTTTAAAACTGTAGCATTGTAACAAAATTGAATAAAATTTAACATGCTAAATTATAAATATTAATTACGGACACTGCCAGAAAAATTTATAAATTCATTTAAAATTATCTAAAAAAATATTTTTCATTTCTTAATACAGTTTCTCATTTCAACTCCTATTCTATACGACAACCGCATTGTTATACAAACACCCACTCATACCGCCGGTTAACCAACGATTAACACTAACCTACCGGTGCTTAGCCGGCACCACATCGTTCGCCAGCCTATACATAGCTTACCGACTCATACCCCTGTCCGACGCCACAACCCTCAGGTTCACGACACCGGTATTCGTAGCCGTATTCGCGTACTTCATGCTCGGGGAACGCCTAACACTCATCCAATACGGCACTGGTATTCTCGCTCTCGGAGGTGTCGTAATCATCGCTAAACCGGAGTTCCTGTTTGGCACCGACAACACTGACCTCCCTGTCCACACAAACCGACTACTGGGCACCGGTATGGCCACCCTATCAGCCGCCAGCGCCGCCCTGACAGCCATAATGCTTAGGCGACTGAAAGGAACTCCCGTTCCCGTCGTAATCGTCTGGTTCTCCGGGACTGTCATACTCTCAGGGATGGTATTCCTACTATCCATACAACGACTGGTAATGCCTACGGGTTGGTGGACATGGATGCTGTTGGTGGGGGTAGGGATGTGCGGAACGGGCGAACAGTTTCTGATCACAACAGCCCTCCGACTCGAGTCGGCCAGTCCTGTGTGTATTGTCCGCACGTTTACTATTGTGCTGTCGTTCCTGTGGGAAGTGGTGCTGTTGGAGGAGCCCATACACTGGACCAGTGTGTTGGGGGCCGGTATGGTAAGCTCCGGGGTCGTTGTACTAGCGTTGTGTAAATGGCGTACGGAATCGCCGCAACTGTTTGATAGAGTTATGGAGTCAGGGCTGTGCCGGTGGTGTAGGAGTCGGCCTCAAACCTAATAAGATAATTGATGTATTAAGTCACAAACTTACCTTGTTAAATCGAATTAATATAGTACCGTATTATGTTAATATCCTGTATACAATTATTTTTAATTATATTGATTACATTTATTTTCTAACTATTATTAAACAGTATTGAAATTTTGTATTATATTTATCAAATAAATTTTAGTGCGAGTATAATAATTATTATTAGTTTTAGTGGGGAACATCGTGACCTGTCAGTAAATTGTGCAATTAGAATGGGTATTAAAACAAACTATATGTCCCTATCCACAAATTGAATTGATCAAAATCGGCCAATATCATGAGCTAGTCCGTAAATCCAGTTATAAATATATTGACATAGTGATTTTGCACATAAAAATAACATTATTTTATACTAATTATTTACTAAATATATTCATGAGTTTTATATAAAAATTTATTCGCAAATATTTTCCGTAAACCTAACGACACTTTGTTTGTAATTTGACGGTTCATTGCCGTTAGAGTGTTAAGCCCTCACCATTATTTTATATACAATTTTATACAGTATTTATACAGTATTTTATCAGTAGTAAGTCTGGAGTAGTATCTTGTAACACATTTATTGTGTAACTAATTTACAAACCATTTGTTTATTTAATAATCTTTTTCCTAAAAATACAATAATTTAATAACTGATTTAGAAAAATTGTGATTGTACTTAATTATATTACAGTATATAATATTATTAAGTATTGCAATGATTCTTATTATCAGACTCCATAAATATTTTAATATTTTTATTATTTATAACTAATTGTTCAATAATTTGTGGCAGTTTTGCGATACTATTATCCGATTGTATTCTACAACCAAATGATAATTATTTAATTATTAAAAGAAATTTAATTAATTTTCATATTATTAAACTTGATATTGTATTCACATTTAATATTGTAAATGAATGTGATTGAATAAAAAAACAATAATTTCAATGTATCATATTTATAATTTATTTATAAATGTTAATCATAATTTATCTTATTTATTTTCATTTTGATCATAAATTTTAACACAATTTAATGTTTAACTAAACCTTCAATAAGTTCAGGAAGTTTTGCGATACTATTATCCGATTGTATTCTTTTGGATATAGTCTTCAGATTCTCAATCAATTTCTTATCATTCAATAGCTTATCAATTGCTGTCAATAATTCAGACTCAGAGCACTGGTAGGCATCGAGTCGTATACCAAACCCTTTGTCCTCAACTCTCTGGGCGTTATCATTCTGGTCACCAAATAGGGGCATAACTATCATTGGTTTCCCAAAGTAAAAGGTTTCAGTAATAGTGTTGTTCCCTCCATGGGTTACCACCAAATCAACTAACGGTAGGACTTGTATTTGGGGAACAGTAGCCGCGCCCCACATATTATCCGATAATTCATACTCCGAATGTTTGGGTCCTTTCGATACAATGAATCTGTGCTTAGATTTCGACAAAATAGTCACTAATCTCTTCATATTCTCCACATCTGTTCCACCCATAGATCCCATCGAGAAGTATATCAACTTTCCCGGTCTGTCCCTCAACTGCACCGGTATCTCAAACGTGTCCTGTAGTTCAGTCCGTTTAAGATTATCAAATCTATGCCACTTTGGAGGCAATGGTCTGATATCCGAATAGTCCAACTCCAGTGGAAAGCCATATATATTTAAATACTTTGAGTCCCTATTAAACCGATTGGCCTCCAGAGGGGGTATACCACGTGATACAACCCAATCGTTAAATGTTTTCCAACCGGCATATTCAGCTGAGTTTATGGCATCCTTGAAGGCTTTCCACTCGCTTTTAGGGCTAGTAATCGACAGACCTAATCATACAAAAGTACATTTTAACGATTTAAGTTTTCTGATAACAAATAAATATATGTTAATGTTTATAAATACTTATTAATCATTAGTAAACAAGTAATATAAATATTATATTATTATTATTAATTAGAATTATTATTATAAATTAGAATTATTTTATAGTATTATATTATAATAGCAAATTAATATTAAATTACAAAATATTATTTATCATTATTGTAGTAAATTGATTAAATGTTTAATACTGATAACTAAAATATAACATTAAGTTTAATAAATAATTTTAAATCAGAGGCCAATCACCAGTACCTGAAAAATAAGGAGGTGTGCGCTCATCCGGTATGAAAAACAGTTGATTGAAACTACATGTGGCCACCCATGGTATGCCTGATAACTCCAGCGCCGGTATGCACCTCACCTGATCCACGATCACCACATCGGGTCGTATATCCCTCAACAGTCCGTCCACTATCACATCCAAACCTTTCATCTGTTCGTTGAAATGTGGCGTCAGTTTAGTGCTAATATTGATCGCCGTTTCCAAAGGTGTCGTGTCTTTAATGCCGCCCCCGTTCACAAACAGGTCGGCCCAGTGTTGAGCCGGGTCTACATCCGTGGGCCTGTCGTCCTGTGCGATGAGCACCTCCTCGATGCCGTACTTTGTGAGCCGACCCTTCCATTGGGTGTTTATGGCAAATAGACACTGGTGTCCGGCGTCCAGTAGTACCTGTGCTATACCTATGGCCGCATTCACGTGTCCGATGGCGTCGATCGGCACGAATAGGACTTTCAGTTTTTGGGCCATTTATCACAAGAATTTTATTATTTCTGAAAAAATTACTAACACTTATTTAAACACTTATAATAAAAATAAATTCAAACAAACTATAAAAATGAAAAATATTTAATGTTTTATAAAAATACTTATAAAAACACGTTTTCTTGTTTAATCCTTAACTTAAAGAGTAAATGATTTGTTTAATTCATGGATCAATACTTATATGATAATTTTTATGGGTCATTCAAATAGCATGTACGTAGTAGTGGATACAGACTTAAAATTTATTTCCTATCTAAACTACTCAAGGGTGTCAATATTTACATTACAAACGTTATGAATATAATATATGATTTATAAAAGTTAACAACTATACTGTTTTGTACTTATTTTACTCGTTAGTGCATTAGTAACGCAGCATTACAGATGTCCTTTAGTGCATAATCAGTGCACATAACTTACTTATGAACAGACTACAGTAATAAGTGACATCATACAATGCAAATTAATTACTTATTTATAGTATTATACGAGACTTACTAATCTGGGACTTTAAAAAATTAATTTACTATATTTTTAATAAATACAAAAGTATCTTATCAATTTTGTTTTAATATCCTTACAGAATGGTAATAATAAAGTAATATTAAAGTTATATAAGGCAGAGTTTTTATGTATCATGTATGTTTTGTATCCCTAACGAGATATTTATATAAACACTTGTCAATAATTGAGTATACTGCACCGATTATAGTTATTTAATTATTGTCAGTAACTTATATTTTCAATTAACATGTAATACTATATTATTCTGATGCAAATTGAATATATTGCACAATTCAACTATAAATGTAGCATGTTTCAAAATTATAATTAATGTCATATTAAAATTGACAATTTATTTCATGGTCATATTTAATAAAATAGTAGATATTATGAATAAATCTTGAATGAAAAAATGTGCAAATAACATCTCTCGTATAGAAGTCAATTACTTCATTATTAAAATAATTTATAAATAAAATTAGATATTTTAATTTGTGTATAGATACTATTGTAAATAAGATTAATTTACTTTATAATTAAAACATCGAATCTATTGTATTTTAAAACTAAGTTATAATTATGAAATTGTACCCAAAGGTTAAGTATTTAATCAAATTTATGATTGAAAATATTAATTTTGAGAAATCTAATTTTATAAAATTGAATTACAAGTTTTTAATTAAAATAAACATTTTTAAACATTGAAATGATTCTTATTATCAAGCTCCATTTTCAATTAACTTGTAATACTATATTATTCTGATGCAAATTGCATATATTGCACAATTCAACTGTAAATGTAGCATGTTTCAAAATTATAATAAATGTCATATTAAAATTGAAAATCTATTTCATGTTCATATTTAATAAAATAGTAGAAATTATGAATAAATCTCATATAAAAAATGTGAAAATAGCATCTCTCGTATAGGAGCCAATTATTTCATTATTCAAATAATTTATAAATAAATTAGATAATTTAATTTGTGTATTGTTACTATTGTATATAAGATTAATTTACTTTATAATTAAAACAACGAGTCTATTGTATTTTAAAACTAAGTTATAAATCTGAAACTGTATCCGGTTAAGTATTTAAATAAAGTTATAATTGAAAATATTAATTGTGAAAAATCTAATTTTATAAAATTGAAGTAGACATTTTTAATAAAATATACATGTATGCTAAACAAAATAAGTGGTTGTTATTTTATACAATAAATTATAATTAAATATCACCTCCAGTTTAAAATTTATAAAAAATATTGTGCTAACTTATTACTTAAAATTGTATGTTTAGACTTATGTTTCTTAAATAATCATTAATAAATTTTTAAAAACCCCAAATATATGTTTATGTCAACTGATAAAATAAATAATTAATGTAACATCATTAATACAAAATACTTTGTATACATTTTAATGATTAGAAAGACAAATCATTAATTATTATTAATGATTGATTTGTAAATATCATTTTGACATGATTGACTTAGGTCACCTTGATTTAGATACAAACGTTTTTATTCACCAAATAATAAATTTTAATCTAACAAAAATCATGGGTTTAATTGTCATTTAATTATCTTAACAAGGTTATATTTGTAAGTATATTTGATACAATGTTTTAAAAAGGGAAAATAGATTAAATGATCATTATAAATACATTAGTTTGAAAAATAACATTTTATTTTTTTTAAATTAGTTGAATTTGAGTTAAAGTAATTGTTGCAACTACCTAATAAATTCAGATAAAATTTTATATTTTATTTTTTAAGACACCATAACCATTTGTATATTTTAGTGTGAGGTTAACAAAAAATAATAAAAGTAAAAATTAAAATGTCCACAAAACT